ATTTAAAAGCAAAAAGCAAACCAACAACAAAAAAGGGGAAAAATTAGCAAATGGGTAGCAGATAGGAGCAAACAATTTTGAGAGACTATCCAGGAGTGTCTCATAGATATATTTAAAACATGTTCATTGTCAGGCCCTCCTTGGTGGTGCAGGGGTTAAAACACAGCACTAAGAAGCTAAAGCCACTTAAGCATGAGTTTGATCCCTGCCCTGGAGGTGACCCACATAGCACGGCAGACCTCTCCTGTCCCGCCTGCTGCTCCCCTCAGCGTGTGCTTCATCAGTTGGCCTGTTCCCCACTCTGTCTCTGGTGAATCCTCTCACTGACCCTGCACCTCTGGCCTTTACCTCAGTATGTATGCATAAATAACTATATATTTTTTAAATATTCATTGTTATTTCCAATAAAAGTGACTAGGTTAAATCTACAATAAGATACCATCTCACACATGTAAAAATGGGATATATTAAAAAGATCTGACAAATGTTAGAGTGTGCAGAGAATGGGGAATCCTAGTACACTATTGGTAGAAATAGAACTGGTAAAAATATTGTGGAAAGCGATCTGAACTTAGCTTAAAAAACTAAAAATGGAAATACTGTACAACCCAGCAAACTCATTCTTGGGCATATATCCAAGGAATTGGGAACTATCAACACAAAACCCATATGTTCCCAAATGTTCACAGCAGCATTATTTACAATAGCTAGGACATGGAAACAGCTGAAATTGCCAGTGACAGATGATTAGATCAAGAAGATATAATGTATCCTCTCTATAGAATACTATAAGAAAAGATGAAATGCACCAAGTTTCCACAAAATGGAGGAGTTTGAAAGAATTATATGTAGTAAAACAAGCAGAACAAAATAAATATTGGACAGTTACAGAGCAGACAGTACGATAACATAAAATACTCACAATCCAGAAGACAGCAATAAACACCATGAGGATTCTGGAGTTAAGGGGAAGGGATGTGAAGGGAAAGATGAGAGAAATAAAGATGAATAATACTAAATTGAGAGATCTTTTCTATGGCAGGTGCTTTCTTAGGACTTATTTATTTGTTTGTTCATTCATTCATGCATACAGAACTGGGGTACAGACCAGAAATGCAGGGGTGGTAAGAAAATTCACCAGAGGCAGAGAAGGGAGCAGAACAAGTACACTGCTGAGGGGAGCAGCCGGTGGGTCAGAAGAGGTCTGCCACACCATGGGGGTCAGCTACCTAGCTGAGGATTAAACTCCTGCTGTAGTGGCTGCAGATAGATAGCTTCGTAGTGCTGCGCTTTAACCTGTTGTGCCACCAAGGAGGGCCCAATACTTTGTTGTTAAGACATTAAACAAAAGATCATCATTTGCTAGAGTGTCACTATTCCATGTTGATTTCCGAAAGCCAAAGAAAAATGGGCATTTGTAATTAAAGCCATTCTAAAGAAAACTGTATAATCCCATGCTAAGAAATTAAAAAACACACTCTTTCTATATTGTTTGTTTTGTTGTTATTTAACCCAAGACAAGGCATTTCCTTTTGGTGGAAGAAAGGATAGTTTTCCCAGATCTGGAGACTAAACAATTTAGCAGGCATTTCACGCACAGCTCACATAAAGAGGATTTGCATATGAACTTGATTCAACAAGAAACCACATCTGAACGTGTTTTGTGGGAAATATCTCTATGGCAGCTCCTTTTGACCATCTCCTTTTCTTTTCTTCATCCCTGCAGGTAACTGGATTGCAACTGTCTCAGGACCTAGATGATCTTGCCATTCTCTACCTGGCTACAGTGCAAGCCATTGCTGTAAGACTCTTTAATGCCATTTTGAGACTTAGCACTACCAGTAAAGTTTAGACCACATACTCCCCAAAATACATCATATGCTTTTATAGCAGGGATTCTTTAATTAAGTGAGTGTTTGCCAAAATGAGATGCTTGTTTTTCCTGGAAGGAAGTGTTGACAAAGATATTCACCTGCTTTACTAGTAACCTCACACAGCGAAAGCTTTGGAAAGAAGTTAAAATCTTTAAACATCAAACTTGTCCTTTATCTAGTGTGTTTTCTAAGTTCAATTAAATAGAAGCAAGGTGAAGCCATGTATAATTACACTCAGAAGGCAATATGAAGGCTGTTCACAATTATAAAATCATGATACATTTCATGCTGTAAAAGGAATTTGTTATTGGAGGTCTTTAAATATAAGCTTCCTTAGAACATGAGCGTGAATGTTTTAGGTTAAGATTATTAGCTGCTTCAGTGAGAGACTTGGATGGTGAGGGAGGAAAGGGAGAATTTAAATCTAAAGTGTTAGGGATGCCTCAGCTCAATCCAAAGATAAAAACAAAATCCTAGAAGTTCAAACATTATAACCAGTGATCATATTCCCTAGAGATGATCCATGAATGGACTACAAGAGGTTTCTTCTGAATCCTAAAATCATTCATGAAAAGCTGTACATGTACTCATGCTAGAAAACATCTCTCAGTCATGGATTTCAGTCTCAGAGCTAATAGAAACACTCTGACAATGGTCTAGTGAGACTGAGAAGAGAATGGGGACTAACACAAAGGAAAAATCAGTTCACTAAATTCTGATTCAAAATGTGTTTTTCTGAGCCATAGCTACTTAAAGTTTTTGTTTGTTTGTCAATGCTATATGAACATATTTATGTACTGTGTAGTTATTTGGTTTCTCCACGTAACAATTTTCTTAACTCATTGTTTCAAGTAATAGAGCTATGCAGATTTTCCCCAAGATCACTAAGCAGATTTATCACCAACAGAGGTGCTATTTCTTAAGTTCAAATTTGTTCAGGGGTCTGTATAGATAAGAGAGCAGAATTTCACAACTACCAATAGATTATACAGTCTTTGTGTAGCTACATAGAGTATAGAATTAGTCAGCTTGATTAAACAAGCCTTTTAGTTTATGGGCCAGTTTGACTGTATCTTCCTAAAGCAACTGTTTCATTGATTGAATAGCGTGGCCAGTTCAGTGAAATCAATCAGCCTGCTTTATTTATGGGAACTTGGTCTAAAACAGACAATCCTGATATCTGTCAAAATGGATAAAATTAATAGTGAGATGAAAAGGGAGATCAAAAATGTGCAAAAAGAAGAGCCAAACAAAAAGAACAAGCAATATACATCAGTGGTAAATATAATTATTTATGACCCCTTTTTATCATCATGATGATGATAATAGTAAATAATAGAGATGCGGGCTAATATTTTATGAACATTATCTAGCTCAACTTTATGAAGTAATTATCAATATAATCCCCATTGCACATATTAGAAGCCTCAACCTCTTGAGGCTAGCGGGAGAGCTTAGATTCATGCCACTAATAAATGGGAGAGCTATGATTTGACCCCACAAGTTGATAAAGTAAAACTAGATATATGAAGTATTGAGAAACCTTTATTTTCTGATATGAATGATAATTATTTTAGTGGAGGGGTTGACTTGCATTGAATTAAATAATCCTGCAAAATCAAAGCGTTGTGATGCTCATAAAGTCCATGTTAAGAGGAAAACTTGAAGAATGAGGCCAAACAGGTTGCCAAAAGGGCATTAGCACTAATGCCACATCACGAGACTGTTCTTTTTATTGACCCCCTCTCTCTGGGCCAGACCCCAAGCAGTGTCTTGTCCACCTGAATTTAGGGCAGCAACCCTCCAAGTAGGTGGGATTGTCCTCTTTTCACAGACAGGGGGGAAATTGTGTCCTAGAGGCAAGCAACAGTATGTGGCCAACTTGAAATTTGAAACTCTAGTGTCTCACTCCCAAGCTTCTATTCTTCACACTGTACCAGGCTGCATTAATCCTTGATGTATTTGTAAAAGCTTCATGGACAAAATAAGCTTTCAAACATTCCCAAGAATAGTTTTCACTTGACACGTCTTAGAAAACATGGTTAATTTGTCCGGGGTTGTCTCACAGAGATCTCCTTCCTGGTAAGAACACTCAGCAAAAGTCCAGGAATATAATACATACATGAGGTTAAGTTTAATGCAAGGCAAAGGTGGAGGACGGCAGTGCCAGCTACATTTTCCCAAATACCACACACTCGGAAAATCAATCTCGTACTTAATGGGCCCTACGTGTATTAAAAGCTATCATATTTATTCTGTCCATTGTCTTAATGACCTCAATAATAACATGAAGGGAAGGCAATTTAAGGCAGAGATCTTTCAATAAGGCTTTATAGTGGTGTCGAATTGAGAACAGTTCAGTCTGTTTTGCAAAGAATATCTGGTTGGGCTGATCTTATATGCAGCAATTGTGCATTGTAGGGAAGCTTTCTGATAACATAATTTCTTAGGATATTTAAGTTGAAAAATTATTTTTATTTAGGTCTGAATGTTGCCCTGGCACCAATATGTTGTTAATAAAGTTAAAGGACTTCCTTTCTTTAGTAATATTTATAGATAGTAGGAATAGAATGAAATTAGAGAGTGTAAGAGTGTAATGAAGTTAACTTTGTGTGAACCGGTCCATGCAGTAAAAATTCTCTCTTGATCACACTTAATTGAAAGACCTGTCAAACCCCCAGTTTATCCATCTCCTGTTCATCTATAGTTTTCTTTTCTGAACAGACCCTTAAAAAGTACTATTTGCATTTGAAGTCTCTCAATTTGCATTTGGCTCTGTACATTCCCAATGGAATGGCCTAATTTTAATTTAAATTTCTCTGTGAAAACATTTTTTCCAGAAAGGTGAGCACAAAATCATTTTAGCACAAAGCCCTTTAGCAGAGTGAGCAGGCAGTTAAGGAGGGTGGAGCTTTTCAGAGTGGCGTCTGGGACAGGGGGATGGGAATGTCCTGGAACTAACTGCCCTCCAGAGTGGGAAATCCAGCCCACAAAGCCACACAGGGGAGAGACAGGCTGTCACAGCTGCTCTCGAGGGAGCGCCTCTTGTTTGAGCAGTTCCTCCCTTTTCCCAGGCAATGTGCTTTGTATTACTCTCCTCTCAACCCTGCTAATCATGCACGTCCCGGGTCCCTGGTTTTCGAAATATCAATTTTGCATGGTATTTCCATCCACTCTGGGAGGCAGCTACCCTTCCCCCACAGACTGACTGTATGGCCTTAGGCAATTTAGATGACCCTTAATGGGGATAACATTTTGCAGTTTCAGAGTTTGTCATAAGGTTAGAGGTGACATTAAAGTGCATAGCAGAGCTCCTGGCACATAGCTAATTACCAGAACACCTTCCATGTGCTGGAGTTTCTGTCCATTGTGGGACCAGCAACTCTGCAAGGAGGCTATCACTGTATTTCATCAAGTCTAAGACCATGTGTAATTTGGGGCAAATTAACATTTCTGACAACTCTTAGAATTTCCAAATGAATGAAGGATGGTATTATTCCTTTTTTAATTTTTTTTAAAGCTTTACTTATTTATGCATTCAGAACTGGGGTAGAGGCCAGAGGTCCCGGGGGATGAGAGGATTCACCAGACAGAGACAGAGTGGGGAGCAGAACAGGCAGATGGACTGGAATACACTGCTCAGAGGAACAGGGAGTGGGCCAGGAGAGGTCTGCCACACCATGTGGGTCACTCGCTGTCTGTGGATCAAACTGGTGTGGCAATGGCTGCAATAGCTGTCATGGTGCTGAGCTTTAACCTGTTGCACCACCAAGGAGGGCCCCACCTTTTATTATTATTATTATTTTTTAAAGATTTTATTTATTTATTCGTACAGAACTGGGGTACAGGCCAGAGATGCGGAGGGTGAGAGGATTCACCAGGGACAGAGTGGGGAGCAGAACAGGCAGATCAACGAAGTACACTGCTGAGGGGAGCAGCGGGCGGGTCAGGAGAGGTCTGCCACGCCATGTGGATCTCCTCCAGGGCAGGCGGGGATCGAACTCATGCGGAAGTGGCTTTGGCTTCTTAGTGCTGTGCTTTAACCCGCTGCGCCACCAGGGAGGGCCTGTTATTATTTTTTTAATGAGAATTGAAACCTAGAAAGATTACATACAGGTTTGATACAAAAAAATAGGTGAGATGCCTGAATGCCATCCTTGGGTTTTTTTAATTCAATGAAAACCATACTGTAGCTGCTATCTATCCATACCCCTGGATCAGACTAGGATTTTCTGGAACCTTCAGACACCAAATGATCCATGGTGGATGTGAGGGCATCTGTAGGCCTGAAATTATTTATAATACTACTTTGTATGGATTTTTTTTAAGAGGTCAGTAGGTTTTATCATATCCTCAAGAGGGTTCATGACCCTCCAAAGCTTAAAAAAGAACATCTGGGGGTAATCAGCCATATTCAATAAGCAGGATCTGGCCTAATACAAGATGTTTTAATTTTTTTTTTTTAACACACTACATCTGTGGCTATCTTTAGAAGCCCAGGTTTCACCTAATCCATACTCTCACCAGATTGCCTAATGGCTTCACCAAACCCTGAAGAGCTCTGGAGTGGAACTGCTATGCTTTTCCTCCTGAATTGCCCCTGCCCCTCATCATTTCCTCCACAATGATCAGGATTCTGTGTCTCGTGAGCCCCTGTAGCCACTCTGACCCAGGAGCCCCCTAGTACAGATGGCAGATAGCTGTAGACAGCCTTATCAAAGGAGGGCTCCTTGCCCTATATCCCACAGGGGAGGGCAAGAAGCACCCTGACCACTTCTAAAACCCTCTCCTTTGCTTTGCTTAAAATATCGGATACAGGGGGCCCTCCCTGGTGATGCATCGGGTTAAAGTGCAGCACTATGAAGCTGTCTGCCACCACCTCTGCACCATGAGTTAGCTCCCTAGCCAGGGAGGTGATCCACATGGTATGGCAGACCTCTCCTGACCCGCTGATTTCTCAGCTGCTCCCCTCAGCAGTGTACTTCATCAATCTGTCTGTTCTGCAACTCACTCTGTCTCTGATGGATCCTTTCACCCCCCGCCCCACCCCTTTGGCCTGTACCCCAGTTCTTGAATAAATAAATACATCTTTTGTAAAAACCTCCGATACATCATACCCTCATTATAAACTGCCTTCTATTCTGTCTAGAACATTCTCTGATAAACTGTGAACTTGGGTCCTAGCTACGCCATCACGTCTTTACTAAAGGTGTAATGTGGCTCCCAACTTCCCTACAGCCCCAGCCCTGCCTTCTCATTGGTGGTACCACCTGTGGCCTCCAAGATCTTTTCCCTCCTCCTGTCCCCCAACTTTCCCCTTCTGCCTCAGCAACTCATCTTTGTCCACACATGGGACTTTGTCAGCACCCAGGAATGCTTGCTCTCCAAACCCTTCCAGGGCTGTCTCTCACCAGAACATCTTCTACTTTGTGTCACCCCTTTTTCAGACATCACCACATGCCCAGAACCCTAGGATCATGTCACAATTCATCTTTTATTATTTTAAGCCTTACCTCCAATAGATATGATTTATGAATTTTTAGTACTTCAACTTCTAAATAAATTTTGATTTTTAACTACTCAAATATCCCAGTTAAAACTAAAAAAAGATGTACATTAAAATTACCTCCTTGCCCTATGGTAGTATTTTCTTTTCAAGCATTTTTACTGAAAAGACAAGAATGGGTACTTTAGAAAGATTTGAAAACCAGGGAAGGCATGAGCCAAGCAAAACATGAGACTTTTGCATCACCCTAGATCTTCAGAGATCCACTAGGAATGGACTCTGGCTCCATAAGTCACAGTGCTAGAGAAACACCCTCTGATTTCAAGTGATAATGAAGGTCAGCTTAGCCCCTTGCTGTGTGATGACTTAGTAAAATCTTCTTCGGCAGTCAGAACACCCCTCTCCTTGTCTCTGCTATGGAATTTGTTGGTACTTTCCCAAAGACCAGACCTCTTCAGTTCCTATGTAGGGAATGGAAACTGACTTGGGGACCAGTGGTCATTATTTACAGACCATTGTAAATGGTCTCCACTCCTTTTCCAGTTGGGCCACGTGGACACTCATCAAATACTTGATTGAATGAACTGCATTCCTGTTGATTGTACCCATTGTCAGAGTTGTATCACCACCATTGTAAGTAAATGGTAGATAGTCATGAAGATTTTGGAGTTGGGTAGGCTCTGGTTGGAATTCCCTCTCTGCAGCTCAGTGAACATAAGTTCCCCCAGGTCCTGATGTCGTGTGCAGAAAGCTCTTGGTGTGTTGTCTGACACTGATCCACAGTTGGTAAACGCAACCATCCATCCCTGAGCAACTGTGCTGATGCTTTCTCCTGCTTTCCCTCTCAGTTTGGGACCCGCCTCATTGTAGAGGCCATGGAGGCAGCAGGACATTCCATCAGCACTCTCTTCCTGTGTGGTGGCCTCAGCAAGAACCCCCTCTTTGTGCAAATGCACGCGGACATCACTGGTAAGTCTGAGGAGGAGAAGAGACCACTTTAGTCTTGGCAGCAATGGGCATTAAACTAAAGAAATTGGCAGAATCTGGATATGGCTGGGAATAGGGGAAGGTAGATGGTGTGGCACATTATTCTGAATATTGTTAAAAATACATATTTTTTTCTTTAGTTAAATATGAACTCCTCCATGAGGCAATTGATTTCTGTGCAAAAACAACTATTGAATGATGACGAGAAATGAGGAAAGAGAGATCATAAGGGCCAGATCTTACTTCATTCAGCTTTTCTTTAGCAGGCTGGAGTTATCTCTTCTACTTCATACATTGTGGGGTATATTGAAGACTCACAGATGAGTAAGACCTGACCCCTCCCCCAAGGAACTCAAGGTCTTTTGAGGAAGGCAGACAGCAAACACATGCATTAAATAGTATGTGGCAAGAACTGTGAGTGAGAAAAGCACAGAGTACTTTGCTAACACAGTAGGGCACCTATCCCTGGCATGGATCTGTGATTGCCCAGGGCAGGTGGCTGGAGGGAGTGACCAGGAGGCAGTCTTGACAAAGACAGCAGAGCCCAGCTGCTGTGGGAACCATGGGCCTGGCTGTAGATAAGAACTTGAGCATTAAAACTCTGAGATCCTCTGACTTTGTCTCAGCTCCTCAGAATCAGGGGTCATGATATGGGCTGATCGCCCTGTGATCTCAGTAGAGCAGGATCCCAAGGACATAACTCTGGGCCCTTAGGAAAGGACCCCAATGGCAGGAGACTTATTGGTCTGCAGAGACTGTCCTGGGCATTTGTTTCTTTGGAGCTGATGTCCTTGCCTTATGTTCCTTTCTCCCTCAAAGTCTCTGAGGGACTGGTATTCTCTCCTAAGGTCCACACCATAATGAGCAGGTACCAGGGCAGGGCAAGAGGAGAGAATCAGAGGGGGTTAAATTCTGCTGACCACCCCAAATCCAGCCTGATAGGAGCCTACCCGACACTGACCTCCATTCATAGCAATCTCTTGCTGTCCCCATTCCCTGGAATCCCCACCGCTAATAGGTGAGTGGGTCAATGCCCCTTCCCCGACTTGGTTCACAGTAGTTCCCTCCCCACTCCAGGCAATGCAGATTCTCACAGATGGGAGCATTACCAGATGAGGGGCATCATTGACCCCTGCACTTTGTGAGCATCAGTTAAATAGGTTACTTTAGACTGACACACAAGCCAGGGGATAGTATTAAAAAATCACACGGTGTCGGGGCACCATGAAGATATTAAATTTAGAAATTCCGGCCACTAACCAAGTTTCTGAATGTGTCACTGTGAAGCAGTCTATATGCATGTAACCCTCACACACCACCAGCTGGCAGTGACTGGTGCATACAGGAAACTGGTGAGTGGGGAGGTGAATTCAACTGACTGTCCAGAGTCAAACAGCCAGGAAGGTCAGAGTCAGGCTTGTAACCCAGTTGTGTCCAGGCACGACATCCCCTACTGTGCTGCCCATCAGATTTCCTAACTTTCCTGCCTACTTTGTAACTAACCAGTTGGTGCTCATCTCCCTCCCCAGGGGCATCCCAAACTTCCAGAAGTGAGATATTCTGAGGCAGAAAGAAGAAAGATGTCAAAAGGAACCAAGACCACCTTGTACTTTTCCCTGAGGAAAAACCATAGCTAGATTTTGTCAACCTGATCAGATAATATTCAGACTTCAAATCTGATCTGTGAGGGACTTTGCAATTTCCAGCCGTCCAGTAGCTTCAGAGGCTTCCTACCTGGGTGCAGAAGGGGAGATAAAATCAACCGAGGCTAACATGTCACCCGAAGAATGGGAAAAAGGGCCTCAGTGAAAAGCAGCCCCGTGACCTTGGGGCCCTGCCTGGGCTCTGCAGTTCTGACCTTTGGGAGAGTGAGTCCTTTTCCAGGCCTCACACCCTAGAGCTGACTCAGAAGCAGAGGGTGCAAGTGGCTTCTCAGAAAGTTCTGCTTTGGGAACTGTTCTCCTTCTTCAGGCTGCTGAATGAAAAGGCTGTTAATCGTTATATGAATTCCGATTGAAACTGGACCCTTTGTCTTTGACTATGGACCAGTTACAGTTCCAGACAAAGGGACCTTTTCTTTGGCCTGGAATTCCTCTGCTTTGGGAAGTCTGTGACTGACAAGTGATGGCAAAGTGCATCTGCCTTTAAATGCTTTGGGTTCTGCTAAACTCATTAATGCATCAGATAAAATAGTTCACATTCCAGCAGAGCTGCCTTCTTCCTCTCCCTCACCCAGCACTCAGAAAAAAGAACACATTTGCATCTGTGCCTGTAAAAGACACGTATATAAGCAGTGGGCTTTAGGTAGGGGCTCAGGCCCCTTAAACATAGTAATTACTCTACTTTTCTTACAAGATTTAGAGAGAGTCATAGATCTGGTATATAATTCTGAGGAATATATGTGAAAAACACCAGGGATTTAGAAGATACATTAACAATAGCGTGGATTTTGGAAAGAATGAGAGGCTAGCTCTGTGATCTTGAACAAATTCCTTTACCTCTCTGAGCTTCTTCTGAAAGACAGAAACAGTATTATTTCCTTCCTATATAGATTATGCTGAGGATAAAACACCTGGAATGTTTGAGCACTGAGCTCTGTGTCTGCCTCAAAGTAGTTGTTCAATAAATGTTAGTTTAGGGCCCTCCCTGGTGGCACAGTGGGTTAAAGCACAGCACTAAGAAGCTAAAGCCAATTCAGCATGAGTTCGATCCCTACCCCAGAGGTGACCCACATGGCACGGCAGATCTCTCCTGTCTCTCCCGCTGCTCCCCTCAGCAGTGTACTTCGTCAATTTGCCTGTTCTGCTTCCCACTCTGTCTCTGATGAATCCTCTCACAACCCTGCACCTTTGGCCTGTACCCCAGGTCTGTATGCACAAATAAGTAAATCTTTAAAAAAAATAAATGTTAGTTTACTTCTTGCCTTGAGACAGTCAGCCAACAAAATGGAGGTGCCTTTGGGGAAAAAAAAAAAAAGCCGTTGATTATTTTGTTAAGCAAATCCTTTCCATTTGGGGAGCAGCTTGCTCCCTGCAAGCAGGGGGAGCAGGACTTTGCCAACTTGGGGAATGTCCTCTCCCTGAAGAGGAGCCTCCTGTTCCCTGGGCATTTAGTTACCTGCGGTTTCAAGAGATGCCTGGTGTATACAGACTAATTACAGGTTTCCCCCACTGACCTGGGACTAAATGTTCCTCCTTTTGAATTTTGTTTTTCAGTTCTGGCAATTTCAGTAGGGGTTTCCTCTTCCTTTCTCATCCATGGCTGAAGTCATTTGTCTCCACATTTATTCACTCACAAGCTCGCTCTAAGCTGGGGTTGGGAAGGCAAAGCAGAAGAATGCCTGCTGTGAGCTGGGTGTTGCAAACAGGAAATGTAAGCTCAGGGTGCTCACCCACATCCAGAGAGTACAGGAGACCCGGGACAGAGGTGTCAGTACAAGTCAGGTCCAGACAGGGGAGCGATGACACACTTGAATGAGTCCCTGGAGAACAGTCTAGTAAATGGTGTACTTACAGAGGTGTGAGCAGGGTGTGGGCCGTCAGGCAGCAACAGGGGTTACTCACGGTCATCACCACCCTGTGCCAGGGCCAAGGAGACCAGGGATGCGGTCCACACATGCCAGTCCCCGTGGACCTAGAGCAGATGGGAAGAGTTGAGATAGGCTTGGCCTGAGGGGCAAAAGGCAGCATCCACTATTAGGGATGAGGAAGACTGCAGAGATCATGTATATTTGAAGAATCGTGACATTTAATACTAATTTAGTGCATTCTTGAAGCCAAGCTTAATTTTAAGTGCCTTACTTATGAAAGCATTTTAATCCTTGCAGTGACCTCATGAGGTAGGTGAACTTGTAATCTTGTTTTACATATGGGAAAAGCAAGGCACAGAGAGGTGAGGTGACTTGCCTAATGGCATACAGCTATGTTGGCAGGGAAGCCAGAACTCCCGTGCCGGCATCTGGTTCCAGCACCTTTGGGTGCAGTTGAGAGTGGTGAAGGACTCGCCAGCCTCACACAGGTCTCCACTTCTCAAGGAAAGGAGCCTCCTTGTTGACAACAGCTGATGGGGTATGAGGAGGGGATAGGACATGAGCAGGGTGTATAGCATTTGGAGGTGCTGTCTTCTAAACATCACCAAGTTGAGGGGTCACACTGCCATCTGTGCACTGCCTTGGTTCTACTGAGGCAAGCAATGCTTTCCCCTGCTTCGGCCAGCTCAGTCTTTCAGAGGCCTCACATCTGTCCTTTCCCTTTGGGTGGGTGATAGGCACCTGCCCAGTCCCTTCCTCACAGCTCTTTCTTATCTGGGTGAAGTGCATCCAGGGGGCTCCCCTCACTACGCATTCATCCTCACAGTGGCAGGCACCATAGGCCGGAAGAGGTGCTAAGACCCTATGTGTTCTCATTAGCCGCACAGCAAACTGTGATACGTCTGATTTCCGTGTTCTTCAGGAGGCTGAGGCTAGAGTTTTAGTGTCTTGTTGAAGAACACAGAGCCTATGGGACTAAGAAACAGACGTAGGCCTGAATCTTTCCCAGCGACTCCACCATGCCTGGCACCTTGTCAGTAGTCAGGGGCGGCTGCTCACCTGCAGCGTGGGGCCTGGTACTGCCAAGCTTCTCGGGTATGTGTAGAAACCCTGTTCCTGCTGCCTGTGCCTGGGATACTGGGGTAGCTCAACCCTCTCCAAAGCAGGTGGGTGAGTGACACCGTGGCAGTGCAGAGAAGGCCATCAGGGACGCCTTCCCAGAAAAGGAGAGAGAAATCCAGGCTTCAGAAAACATCTCTAACATCTTGAGAAAGATTTTATAGACTAGCCACAAAGCTTACCTCTGTGGAGTTTGCTGCCATCTCCTGATTAGCAAATATATTTGTGTTTACATTATACAGTTTTTTTTGTTTGTTTTAATTATACACACACACATAAACCCTAGAATTTTAAAGTAGCCCTGCTAACCTTAAACACACCGCAAGACCTAACC